GTTTTCCAGCTAAAGTCCAAGTTTCTCGTGGAAAAATTATCATAATTTGGAGAGAAAATTGGGAAAATTGTTTTATTAAAGCTACAATTTTATTAAAACTAAAAAATATATCTTGGAATTTTATATTACGACAGATTGCAAAACAAAAAATATAAAAATAGAACGTCGAAGTAGATAATTGTCGATCACGTAATCGAGAGATAATCTCGAGTACAAAACGATTATACGATTGTGATGTTCTTGACTTGAAATAGGCAGAGAAACCGGAGCTAATAGAAGAAACAGAGTTGCGGTTTAACCTCTCATAATTCTGTTCACCTGTTTCCCTAGTCGAGGATCAAAACGTGCCTCAAACGTGTCATTATGAATTTAGTCGCGTAGATGCGTGATATACTCAAAGATGCAAAATTACGTACGCAATAACGAGCTATAAGTGTTACGAGGACAAATTTCTTTGCAGAGAGCGTTTCCGCGCGCGCGCGAGCTCGTTTTGCCAAGTTATCGGGTGACGCAAAAGAAATTTCACATTCCTAGGCGCGGAACGATTTCGATTTTGCAATCGGCTTGTAACGTTCTATTTCGCTTTGTCTTAATGTTGGTCGATAAGTTTTACTTTTGACAATCTTCTTTCGGTCTGTTTTATGAGATAGAAATTATTGATCTTTGTTCCTGTCATCAAAACAACATTGTGTATTTACGAAATAATACATTTACGTATTTTATACATTTCTACGCAATGTACATACGTGTACGAAGATAAAATTTATTATATTTCTTTCTCCGTAATTAACGGTGGAATTATGACATTCTACTTCGTATTAACAATGTGTCGCGCGAAAAAGACAAATAGCGATTTGCGGAAGTAATTACATTCACAAAATTCGAAAGGATAAATTATGTACATTCGCCGCGATTACACATGTAAACTTTGCAATTCAGATAAACCGAAAACTGCTTTTCGCGGTGAGAATTCATTTTCTACGTGTAATGTAAACGCGTCAGGAGGATAAACCGTCCGTCTTTCGCGGAAGAGTGTTTTCATCGGCGCGGCGGATTAAAGCAACATGGCAGCACTTAAAATGCGCATTAAAATGCGCTCACTTAATGCCAGTTGGAATTACGCAAAATCTAATTACGCGCTCATCCGAATGAAACGTCTCGCGCTTGTAAATGTGTTAAATGTTACACGAGTTCACGAGAGAACAGTGGAATTATGTATCGCTCGCGTGCAAATTATTCTCGGTTTTTTTTTTAAGTACGCGTTAAATTGTAAAATCGTCTATCGGCGCGTCGTTTAGTATTGACACATTCGCGCCGCGCGAACGAATCCCCGCGACCGCATTCGTTCTCGATAGGGTTGTAAAGCGCCCGAGAGACGCACACCAGTTGAAGCTAATATGGCGAATTAAGCAGCAGCCTCGCATGAGCCAAGTCACCGACGAAACTGCTGGGATGCGTTCTACAGGGTGTCACGAACAAACAAGTATTTCAAAGACTGATTCTTTCTTCGGAATTTTAATTTTAATCGAGTTGTTCGCGGAAAAGGATAAAAATATAATGACGAGCTAGATTTATTTGATGCTATATTTAATACTAGATTTATATTATTTATGAATCTTTTGGACATAAATATGTAAGACCTGAGTAATCAGAATTTTTATTTCAGTATAGGTATATTTATTTCAGAAAATTTGGACTATCTCTCCGACTCGAAAAGATAATGAATTTCTTCGAAATTTATTTATCTGCAAAAATACGGAAGTACGCGATAGACCTGTCGCGACCGTTTGCTGATAACTCAAAAGCGTGCTATAAACATAGCGCGTGTGTAAAGATAAAAAAGACACCAAACAGCTGAGAGACACGTACGTTTGGGACATTAAGAAAGCATCGGATGTATTTGACCTTCAGTTTCTTATCTTTGTTTGCATCTTTCGATAAAAATGTCAAATTAAATCTTCGTTATTTTCAGATTATTGAAAAATACGATAAATTAAAAAAAAAAACAATGTTTTTACGGAATTTATAGTGATAATCAAAATACAGTAATCGCGCTCCCTTCTTCTTTCCCCTCCATCTCCAAAGAGCGAGTCAACTCATTTGAAAACACTATTAATTATTAGTTATCGCGGTGTAACTACTTAATAGCAGTCCGCGTGACACACGCGTAGTGAGAATATACGACACACATAATATATGCCGTGTCACATTACGTTAGACCATCGATTTTTCGTAAAATACTCCGCCGACGTGTGATGTAAGGTATACATTATGAATGCGGCAGCTTGTTGCATCGCCGATGATATTTGCAAAACAGAGTCACCCCGCCGTTCATTACGTGACGCTAAATATTTTCCTATTTTAATGATTGTCTAAATTATAACATGAGATATTTACACTCGGGAACAAGCGCGATAATCCCTTTGTGAACTGACATTTCCCAGACCCACTCAAAAATTGCGCATCGGCGTCTAGTAAAAATCTGTTTTTGTTTTTCCGCTTGTATCTTTGAGACTACTAGAGATTTTTTCGTTTTTCTTTTGATTGACGCAAAATCGTTCAAACTTCCAATTAAAAAAAAAAAAAAACAAAATTGAAAAAATATTGATTTTTCTCTGAAGTATTTGATTTTAAAGTCGCGTGAGTCTCACAGATTCAGTCGGTCCAAGAAGTCGTCATTTTTTAGAGTCCACGAAAGGATAAAAAGATTGCAAGTTATTCTTCTTCTTATTATTATTATTATTAAAATATAGATAAATAATCGTAGAGAGATCATAACAGACTATTTTTACAGCTGCGCTCACAATGCACAGTTTTTTTTCTTCCTCATTTTTGCGGATTTATTGATTGGATTCTTATTCATGACAAATTGCTTTTGTCCGCATATATCAGCTGTCACCGACAAATAATATAATACAATTATGCGCAGAATATCATTGTCGAGCAAAAAAAAGAGGAATAACTTATAGAAATTTATGCTCTAACATTCAAATGTTAATTAACGCTCGTCGCAAACAAACATATAAGCTCACACANACACACACACACACACACACACACACACACACACACACACACACACACACACACACACACACACACACACACACACACACACACACCAACACAGAAAGAGAGAGAGAGAGAATGATGTGTCGGTGATAAAAACAATACAAACACCAAAGTTAATTTTCTTTCTCATACAAGAATCAAATTTTCATGTACGTGTTAATCTTTGAAATTAAGAAAACAACTTTGCGTAAAATGTAACTTACAGGATTGTTTGAAATACAACTGTACCGATTGAAAAGAACAAAACAAAAAATAAAATTGATCTCGTGCACGTGTGTAACAATAAATCGTCGATTGTTTCCAGGATGCTATTCGATACTGCAACTATTCCAATAAAACCGACGAAATGATGGAGTTTCTCCGATTCTTTCGGCGAAACCGACGATAATCGCGATTCTCAGACTCGCGCGAATAAAAAAATCGAATTCGAGTTGAACGGAGCAAATAGACGACGATTTTGCATCGTGAAATCGTGTAAACGGCGCAGCGTGACCCGAGATAACCTTTCAGAAACTGTCACTTAAATTCTCCCTTATCTTTCAAGACAAAAAAGTAGAACGAGGTGTCGTTACATTATCGTTACGCATATGCGATCGGAACAAGTATCGTTATCTTAGTTTTTTCTTTTTTAAAAAATTTATAACGTTTGAACAATAATCTTATCGGCGAGAAACTCGAAGAGAATGAAAACTATTCTGTCGATCGACGCATTCCAACGATGGAGCGGCGTCGCGTGACACTCGTAATTTCAACGGAAAAACAGCTCGTTAAATCGAAGGGCTTGCGAGTAACATAGCGTGTCAAGTAACACGACAAAATAATTACGTATACGCAATTGGAAAAGAGAAAAATGATACGTGGTACTTTTTTTTCTTCGCGACGATATGTTATCAAAAGAGGAAGCTGAGATACGCAAATCGCGAGTTTTTCTATTGCTTCATGTGTCATTTATCTCTTTGCATCCAGAGACAAATTCTGTGGAAGAGAAAGAGAGAGAAAACAAATCCGTTCGATCTCTCGCGAATCCGAGAGACTCTTCGTTGTAATTTAATTTCGAAACTCACGGCGCTGCGCGGCGCATATCTTTTATTCGCTCGTCGATACTTGTGCGACATACACTCGACGTCATTCTCTTACGGACGTGACGTACGATCGTTTGGCGTCTTTAGCCGCGGGCAAACGAGCGCGACCTTATTCTTCGGGACGGCGTACATACATGTTCCCGATCCCGTTGCATCAACGCGGCGGCGACGACGACGACGACGACGACGGTGGAGCATCGGAATATTGCGTAGTAATTTTATAGCGCTACTCTCCGCCGTCGAAAGAGACATCCAGCGAAGTCTGATTTTCTCCCGCAGTAAATTGCCGTAATTTTTCTCCATTCTCTTTCTTTTTTTTTCTATCGCGTCTCCTTTCTCAGTCGTCACACAATCCCGCTGGTGTTGATTCCGCGTGTACGCGATCCCGTGCGCGTTTCGTTATTCACCCTTTCTCCGCACGAGAAAAATCGCGTCACCATTTTTTTAAATGTCTCTTGTTTAAAAGGATTTTGTTCCGGTTGCGCGGAATACACGCGTCACGCTTTCTCTCTCTCTCTCTCTCTCTCTCTCTCTCTCTCTCTCTCTCTCTCTTTCTCTCTCTCTCTCTCTCTCTTTCTCTGTCTCGTTGTGGGTTACGCTCGCTCGCGCAAATGCCGCCGTCGCTCGCACCGTCTCGCTCTCGCGCCCATTAAAATCCTTCTCCTGCTCCGAAAAGAATCCTCCGTGATACGCAACAGGTTATCGAAAGGCGCCCGTGCGCGCGTTCCGCATACACAGACGCACAACAGACGTGACATTTGTGTGTTTACTCGCGTATGTATATACACGCAACAAACATACACGTACATACACACACGCATACGCGCACATTGCTCGTACACTCACCGCGCTCGGCGACCGCCGGAGATTCAACCAGGAATATGCACAGGATGAAGAGCAGAAGCGCGGTTCGCGTCGGCCTTCGCTGATCGTTCGCACCGTTAAAGAAGCACCGTCGTTCCTTCTCGCGCCGCGCCATAGCTGCGTCGAACGATATTTAAAATCGACAAGGACTTCCTTTCCGTCTCGTTTCCTCTTCGAAAGGAAAAAGGTTTCACCACTCACACAGACACACACGAGCGTGTACAAAAATCCCTTGTTGCGTTTATATCACAAACGAAAAAGCGTCAAGCAGCGCGCGACCACGCTTGCGACGACACACACAGGCAGCGGATGAAGAAAAACGGAGAGAAGGACGGAGCGAGGGACGAGGACGGACAAAGGCGCGGGTGGCGAGATCAGGAGAGAAAGGGAGACACAGAGAGCAGTGGACAGAGGGAGAAACGGCTAGTCTGGAGTGATATGGGATTAAAGAGCAAAAGAAGAAGAGAGATAGGAGAGAATCGAGGAGAGGCGAGAAGGCGCTGCCGCGCGAAGAAATAGCGGTTGTCTGTCTCGCTCCGCGACGAGTTCTTGGAAAAAGCGAAAGAACGAAAAGTCTTCACGTCTTTTTTTTTTTTCACTTCGCCAACTTTGCGTGCGCGAATTTTTTTCTCTTTTAACGCTTGCCACGTGCGAAACCGCGTCGATGTGACAGAACACGACGCAGAAATCGAAACGTACGCGCAGTTATCGTTTTACCGGGCCGCGCGCGACAGAACGACTTCGACGCGACACCCGCACGAAACAATCAAGAGAGTCGCGTGAAACGAGAAATCTGAAGTTTCGAACCGCCGCTCGCTTCAAACTGGTACCATCGAATCGGCACACCGTATATTGCCAGCGACATTCACTTGTTACGCGAACGGCATGTCCGTTCTCACTAGCCGCTCACCGTGCTTCCCTAGTCGTTCTTCCCCGTCCTGAGGATCATCTAGATGGTCATCTAGATAAAGACGCACGCTCGTGCACTCGCACGTCAGATAATCGCGCAAGCCAATCGCGTGAGCGTGCAACAGCTCGCGCGTTTTGTCCCGCGAAATCCGAACTTGTTGCTTTGAAAGAAGCCGCAAATCGGTGATTTTTGTAAGAAAAAAACGAAAATAATTGGATTACTTTTTAACAAAGAAAAAGTAGATAAGAAAATAAAATAAAGTAGTAAAAAAATATAATAGTAAAAAAAAAGATAAAAGGAATAGTTTTATTAAGAAAACAAAATAAAAGATCATGCGGTTTTAATTTTTTTGTAATTGTTTATTTAGAAGCTTGTTAATTAACGTTACTTTTTTTTTATCAGTCATTGTCATGGTGTATATAATAGCGATTTCGGCTGGTCTGCACCGGTGTGCCACCTGTGTAGAGTTGGTGCAATTGTGTGCAACACCGCATCGGTGTGTGTACTGATTACACTAACTGGCTCCGACTAATTTGTGAGAGCCACTTTGTGTACACCCAACATGCACCTATGCGATGTACTGAGCTCAGACGAATACGCGGAACCAGCAAAGAACTGCTGCCATTCGACCAGCCGAACACACAATTTGCACCGACACCCGAAATGTGCAGTCGGTGCAAACCAGCCGAAATCGCTAT